ATGTTTTTTGGGAGACAAAGCAAGGTGTTTGCTGCTGAGGCAGAATAAACAGACACCCACTAGCATTTCTTGACCAACCTGGCTCCTGAATGGTACTGGTCCTACTATTACATCCAGAGAGGAACCAGAAGAGCTCGTGCATGAGTGGGATCCTGGCACAGAATCCAATCAATCCAGTGTGAATTGGAAACTGCAGCAAAGTGATACTAAGTTCATAAATTGAATGGTAGTTGAAAGTTCGTATGGTATTAGTATTTTCCTCACGCAAAAATATGATGCATCAAAAAACTGTGCAGTCTTTAAATAATCACCATTGTTTTAGAGATTGAGTCTTGGTGAAGCCAAACCAGAATCAGTTCAGTTGGCAAATTCAAAATACAGCAATCACCTACAGCTAAATGATTTGTGATGGAGACTGTTGATCTACAGCATGTCTGTTTGGGGCTTTTTTTTTTAGAACGTACTGCACCATGCTAGCTGTGTGTGAGGTGCGAGTAAGAGGCTAGCACCGTCAGGGAGGTTAGAGAAACACATACACACCTGTAAATTCACATAGATTTTTTAGTGTGTAATTTGTGCTTGCTGTTTACATGTAGCACTGTATACTCAAATGAACGTTTATGATTGAAAACACTTTTTTGTGAAGTAGTTAGGGTGGGAAACATTGTATGATGGTTAAATTGTAACTAACATCCAGTTCAAACCAAACTCCTAAAAAGGAGTTCGAAAATCTTGATCAAGCACAAACATTTGTGATCATGGTCAATTTTGCATTGAACTTTTAATACTTAAAACCTGAAAAACATAGCAACTCTAATTCAACATCATACATAATAATAGGAGTTTATCAAAAGGTTCAATGTTGAGTGCAAAAGTTGAATTTTAATTGTGAAAGTTGGATGTGGAGTGCAAAGTTGGGTCTTAAATGTTAAAGTTGGATGTTGAGTGCAGAGTTTGATATTGAGTGAATAGTTGCTTTTAACCTGGAATGGAACACCATACTCTCCAGGGATAACAAATGATCTGTATCAACTCCATTGAATTCACTGGCTTTGTCTTGGTTACAGGTATCCATCATTTCTATGGTTGATATGCGTTGATAAAAATAGGTTGCTCCAATCGGTGGAATTTGGTAAGTAGTTGTTGATTTTTGATGTTATCAGTGGTTGAGTGGTTAACAATCCAAACAACAAATCTTACCACCAAAAGCATTGTTTTACCATTTCAGAAGTTGTTACAATGTAATTAAGAATTCTTTCCTTCTGATATCATTTACTTAGTGGTGAGCTGCAAACCAGTTCATGCAAATGCATGTACAGTATTATATGCCAAATAACCAAAACCATCCATTTTACTAAAAATATATATAATAAAAAATTAGATTTATCCACTTTAACGCTAAAAAGTGAAAAATATTCTAAAGTGCTTTACATTGAAAGATTGAAATTAAAATGAAAATAAAGAATAAATGTTGGTTTAAAAAAATAGAACAATTCAAATACATAATACAATCCTATACTTGGTATAGGATTAGGACAAATTGTATGTTAATTTAAAAAGGTAATAAACTAGGTAACTGATAAAAGCCCTACCTATAATTATTCTGGTGCTTGATAGTTGAGAGGCTTGAAGACCAGAAGTAACAGTTTCAACTGGATTTGATAAATTACAGGTGACCAGTGTAGATGGTACAAGGTATAAGAGATATGATCACATTTGGTAGCCCAAAAATGAACTTAGCAGCAGCATTAAGTACTTTTTTAAGATTATCTAAATGGTACTTGGGATGCCATCAAGAAGAGGATTGCAGTAGTCCGAGTGAGAAGTCACAGATGCATGGAAAAGAGTCATGGTGGTCTCAGGGTGGAGGAATTTCTTTATTTGCTGAATTTTATGTAACCCATGGAACACTTTTCTGCAGACCTTGCCAATATGGACAGACACAGACATCTTGGCATCAAACCAGGAGCCCAGATTCTGGACACTACCATTAGATTCAATTGAGAGTTTTTGTAATTTATGGTGGGAACCGACAATCAATAACTCATTTTTTGTATCACTGACTAACAAACTGTTTGGAATCAACCAAGCACGTAGATCAGAAACACAGGCTTCCAGATAAGAACATAGACAAGAAGCAACAATTCATGGGCAGAGCCAATGATTCCTAAGTTATTTCCATGGACACCATGTGGTTGATGGTATCAAGAGCCACACTCTTTACTAAGCAGCTCTACTGTTATGATTGCTCAGAAATGGTAGTTTACCAAGAGTATACATGCTAGATGTATTTCTTACAGAAAAAGGTTTGCTTGTCCCAGAGGGAGAGTAATTTGGAGACTGGGCAGTCCAATGTCCTATTTACACCTTGTCAGGAGCCTGCTTCCCTAGAATTCCACCCTTTGATAGGGTTCCCAACCTGGGATTGTACCCTGCTCCTAAGGGTTCAACCCTGGAATACCATTTAGAGGCCCTGAACTCTGTACTTGAAATCTTAAGCCACCGGTGAAATTTGACTGAATGACTCTATTGAATCACTGAGCATTAATTATTGACGTAAATTTTCTCAGTTAGGTTGACAATACTTCACTGTTAAAAATATTGGTCTAGGCATGTTACTACTTAGTGATTTTTTTAGAATCAACCAAGGGTTAGCTTTGTTCCAGAAATCTTAGATATTTCCAGTGAGCATGTATGGGCCTATTGGCCTTGGTTCAAGTACCTTTTTTTACAAAATAATGACAGTTTACAGCTTTGGTTCAAGCTTGTAAAATTTAGGCTACTTGTTGAGATTACTTGAATCAAAGAAACAAACCAAGCAGCAGCTTTATCTGTAATTGCAGAATTTTGTCTAGATAATAGATACCTTGCTTGTCACTGTGCTTGTGTTGCATGACAAAATTGATGGTCTGATTATTTAAACAAAGTTTAACCATTGTACTCCAAAAGCGTGTACTAAATCTTTCTCAATTTAGCTCAATCTTTTATTTTAACATTTCATTTTGTGAACAGTGTTAAGAGGGCCAAAAGATAACAGTGGATGGACATTTATTTAAATTAATCCTCTTATGAAGAAGGCCAGAGACCTACTGATTGTGTAGAACCATGGTCTGGGTTAGAGTTTGTGTAAATAACTGGCCCAATGTATTTAGAACTAGAACACAATGTTTCTCTATTTTAATTTAGTTACCTGCCACATAAACATTTTGAATACTAACAACATTGTCTGGAAAGCACTTGAAGGCTCAAATCTACTTTGTTTGCATGAAGACAAGTGAAGACTGCTACTGTTGTTAGAGCTTCTCTCACTAATGTCACTCAACCTTCCATGTCAACCTTCTGAAAAGGTCTTCAGGAACGTTATGGCTGGGTCTTTCAAAGGTAGGGGTTAAGATAATCTAGGGTTTGTAAAAAATTTCATTTCAGATCTGAAAGTTTT